GAAGCATAGAAAGCTTGCCCTATATCTATTATATTATATAAAACAAAAAAACAACAATAAAATAATTTATTATATTATATATTATATTGATAAAATAAATATAAAATATATTATATTATATTATAATCTGACAATCAGGGGTGTCTAGTAGTAATTGAATTTTTTTTTTTTCTACAAATCCAAATCACTTGAAATTTTAGGTGTATGTTATTCTCATCAATGTGCACCTAATAAAAATATATAAAAAAAAAATTCATAAAAATAAAATGACCAAAATTCCCCCCTTTGGATATATTTTGGTCAATTTTTTTCATGTAAAATATTTTTTTGATATTTTTCAAAGATTTACTTATTTTTTTATGAACATACGTCTAAAATTACAAGTGATTTGCATTTGTAAAAAAACTAAAAACTAAAATTCAAACACTATTGGACATCCGTGATCGTCAGATCGGCTCAAAATAAATCTGAAATGTTGGGCTCATATGTTCATATGAGCTAGTGAGCTAATCCCATCTTTTCCCACTATAGATTACGTTATATATAATATATATTTTATATATTATTGTATAATATAAAATATATTTTATTATATAACATATTTTATTTATATATTTTATAATATTATATATAATAATGGGAAAATATCACTTTATCCCATATTTTTAACTTCCATATCTCATAAGACCCAAGAATTGAAAAAATTACTTGTAAGCAAAAGGTCTCTTGGATCCTTTTGACCATAAATTTTTTACCCAAACAAACACTAAAATAATACCATATTCAAACTCCATCTCTCTTTCTCTAAAACTCTATTTCTCTCTCTTCACTTCTCGGTGAGTTTACCAGCCAAGGGGTTTAGCTTGAGCTCGAACACGAGCACACCTTCTTATGTGTGTGAGAAAGATAGAGTTTTAGAGAGAGACAAAAATAGAGTTTGGGTTTTAGAGAGAGATGGAGTTTTAGAGAGAGCGAGAGATGGAATTTGAGTTTTAGGGATAGAGATGGAGTTTTGAGATAGAGGAGATGATGTGAGAGAGTGAGATAGAGTTTAGGTTTTAGAGAGAGATGGAGTTTTGAGAGAGAGATGGAGTTTTGAGAGAGAGAGAGGATGATGTTAGAGAGAGAAAGAGATAGAGTCATTTCATAAGTTGTTGAGGTCAATAATACATGGTAAAAAATGTTTAGGGAGTTGGAAGATAAAAAAAATAGAGTCATTTTGCT